GTGTGATTGTTATTTGAAAATTTTAACTTTAATGGAAGGAACCAGATTGGCTGACTCGACACACTCACTCAATGGACAATCTGACAGGAGTGGCCTGACACACCTACCAGATAGAGAAACCGAGCGTGTATAGTAAATAGAAACTGAGGGCATATGAATATTTAGATATTTAGACTATGTACTAACAGTGGCAATTGTAAGCAAATGCAACTACTTGAACATACACCTGACACATAACATGGGCCTTCACTGTTCCCTCTCTCTGCAGTTGCACTTATTGTAGAAAGCAAGACGATACAAATTATTTGCTTTATATTTAGCCGCTGGTCGTTAGTTAACTTGTTCCCCAATTTCTGATTAGGTGGGTATGCATGAGAAATCTTTAGACTCATAACCAAACCATAATCCATAAAAGACAACAGTTTATTTAACCTTAACTGATATTAAGTGTGCGCTGCAAACGTGAGCATTTTTGCAAGCAATATAACTGCTTGACGCATTTTTAAATGCGAGCAATATAACTGCAAGTAGCACACCACCCAGAATGTCAAAATAAAAATACAGACATATGTTCATAGACTCCTTAACTGATATTAAGTGTGCGCTGCAAACGCAAGCATTTTTGATGATCGTTTCTGTCCAATCCGCTCCTTTTATTACAGCTGTTATGGTTTTTTTGTCTGGCAATGGCAGCAGGTATGCGATAAAATTTCAAATTGGAGCCTGTACTCCATTGATTCTGACACGCAAAGATGACATTTTAAGCTCCTTATGTAGCCGACTCTGTGCTGGTTTGTATTGGCCACCTCCAGTTATTCCTTTGTTTTGCCTCCAGCTAATGCTGTGACGTAATTGTGATGTCAGCACAAAAAGGGTCTATAGGTCGACCTCTGAAATTTAATGTATTATTTAATGAAAATCTGGATCTTGACCAGATTGGTCTTTTGGGACTGTACGTTCACGAGTCGCTATAGACCAATTTGGTGTTTGCAAACAGTGATGACATTTTTGTTGTGGGTGGAGCCTATCTGGTGGCAGAAAATGACCGTTTTAAAGTAGCAGTCTACGGAAGCCATGGAATAAAAGATTAAAAAAGGTAATTTTGAGTTTGTATTTCAAAATTCTGACTTTTTTCTCGCAATTCCGAGATTATATTTCACAATTCTGATAAGAAAAATCAACTCGTCATTCTCTCTTTTCCCCTCGGATCAGAATCATGTGTTTATAATCCCACACTTCTGGATTTTTCCCCTCAGAATTGACAAACTTGCAATTGCTGAGTTAAATTGATTTATAAAGTCTGAACTTGGAGATATAAACTTGCATTTGTGAGAAAAAAAAGTCAGTTTTGTGAGATAAAATAGGTAAATGTTATAGGTTTAAATAGTTGGCTATTTCGTGCTGTAACTGTAGGGCTGAAACAATATGTCACTTATGATCTGCATATGTGAATATTACGTAGACCTATTCTTTAAATCAAATTTATGCTTAAAAAGTAGGGTAATCATAGCAGGTTTCATCCATAGTCTGTCCTTTTAAACGTCTGCGTTTAGCTTCAAATGGCGTCTTTGACGACAGTATTCTATAAAAAATCATTTGCATTCCGATTCTGACATCCAAAGGCACAACACCACATTTTTTTCTCTTATTCAATGGATTTTACCCATTTCCCTCCACTTGTTCCGTGTTTTTCTGCCACCACAATGCACGCGTGCAGCTGCATGTGACGTAACTGTGACGTCTACTCCAAATTGGTCTATTGTGCCACCAATGCAGTTCACGCAACTCACCCAGAAAAAGCGCACAAGTTGTGAGAAATCAACAATAGACACACAACATGAAATACAATCCTTGTTTTAATTCTGACTGGAATCTGACAGCCAGAATTCTGGTCCAGAGATATCAAACTCAGTGAAAAAAACAACACTGATACTTTTCAGAGATTTCTAGACATTGTATTTTATATTGTGCTTCTATTAATCTTTATTTCTCATAACCTGCGTAAGAGTGAGTAGGAGTGAACTGCGGCGCTAAAGCCGCATTTCCACTGTCTCTGACATTTCAAGACAATTGTCGCATTTCTCAACTTTGCTGCATTTTAGATGCAGCAACCATTACCCTCGGCTTATTCATCATGGTAAAATTAATTATTTTAATAAATATAATGGATGTATGAATATATCAACACAAAACAAATGACCACCAAAATAAAAACATAGTACATTTTATGGGGCTAATCAGCGTATAATTAATTAAATAATGATTTAATAGTTATTTCTGCCATAATTATTCATAACCACAATTTTACAGAAATAGTGTTTACAGAATAACGTTAAAGTGGAAAAATATACGTAATTTTAACCTCATGCTCAGTTTTGATTAGAATACATCCGGTACAACCACATCCGGTTCTGAAATTTCCACATACGCATATGATCGAAACTCCATGCAGCTCCTGCACAACTCTCCATTAGAAATGAATGACTTACAGTCTGTCACTTTTTATTTGTCGGAGATAGTGGAAATGCGGCTTAATGGACCCAAAAATTTGCAGTTGTGTATAGAAGACAAACATCGATTAGTCAGGATTTTTGTTAAAGGGGTCCTATAATGCCCTTTTACAAAGTTGATTTGGTTTTTGGGGTGTACTAGAATAGGTTTTCATGTCTGATTGTTCGAAAAATGCATTACTTTTCACATATTTTATCACATATATTCATTGCAGCGCCTCTCGTCCCAGTCTGTCTTTTCCACTATCTCCGACAAGTGACAGGCCGGAAGGAGCTTCATGACCAAATTGAAAGTACTGTGCGGCTGGGGGGCAAAATGCATCAATTGTATCCAAATGTGGAAAGCCGGCTTCAAACACCCTGTTTACAACTCCTCCTTCTGAAATACGAAATGTGCTGTGATTGGTTAGCTAGCCCAGTGTGTTGTTATTGGCAAACCTCTTGTTCCAGAAATGACAAGTTTTCATCAGAGCCCGGGAAGACTAATTCTCCGCTGGTTCCTTCGAGATTGTCCTATGGGGTTTCATAATGGTGTTTTTCAATTTATGAGTAAAATAAAGCCTGTGGTAAACATAACTTGATACTTTGACGTTTTGTTGTACGATGTAAACTGCATATCACAACCACCATATTATCAGCATCATTCTTTGACAACCAACACACTTCTTACTCTCTCAACAAAGGCGGGAGCGAGGAGGTGCCAGGAAGGACCACATGCCAGGACGACTGGGACTAATGTGTACCAGGTAGGATTGGCGCTACCTGTACTGGGTTACCCAGTCTGGTTTGGAGTCCCTCCTCTCTTCAGTGTCTCCTCTGCCTCCTCTGTTTACTTTATGCTTATAGGTGGGAAGGCCTGGTTTTATGCAATTTAATTCAAAAACAATTTTATGCATACAGGGAGGGGTAACCCACAATATGGAATGTAAGTGTGGCAAATTCTGAATAGGTATGGACTTCTTTCCCTCACGTGCCGTAGTTTGGGGTTGGGGTTAGGGTTTGGGAGGGGGTCTATTTGACACTGCCACATAAGGGAAATGTTCTAACCACTCTGTATATTTGTGTATCAGAGTTTTAATAGGTTTTACATGTTTCATTGTCCATATTAACTTGAAAAATGTGTGTTTGAACTGAGACTCTATCACATGACAGGTAGTAGGAACTAGCCTCTCATGATAAAAGGAGCAGTGTGGCCAGAGATTGTCTTAATATAGGGAGATAAGAGGGTCTGTATTACTTTCTATTGGAGAAAGCGTAACGGTCAACTTGGATCACGTGTGCCTTAATAACCAATCACTTTACAGCCTTGACGACACTGCATTTCAGTCAGAGTTGTGCGACACTCAGTCGCCGTTTACGGATATCATAGGAATGAATGAGAAATGCCATAAGCTGTATCCCACCTGTCGCAAAAAGTCAGTGACTTCTCTTATAAAACGGCATTTTTTTACAGCCTTGACGACACTGCATTTCAGTCAGAGTTGTGCGACACTCAGTCGCCGTTTACGGATATCATAGGAATGAATGAGAAATGCCGTAAGCTGAATCCCACCTGTCGCAAAAAGTCAGTGACTTCTCTTATAAAACGGAATTTTTTTTCGGTGTAAACTCTAAAAATAGTTCAATCCAAAAGTATTGCTTAGTGTAAAACATGTTGGAGATTAGCCGATGGGCTGTCAATTCATTAAATGATAAGCTGTTTCCTCTCAAATGCTGTTTATTCGGCGTAGTGAAGCCTCTCCTCTATTGACATCCATTTAAAAAAAACGGCCTCTGGTCTCCTTTCCCACGTAGCCTTCTGCTAGACCGGAAGTGTTAGCTTTAGCCGTTACACTTTTTTGTCTAGAGGTTAGGCTTGCCTTCTAGTGGCTTTGGTATGGCCTTATATTGAGGCCTTTTTAAAAAAAAATGTATATATGACATTCTGGTCCATGGTTCCATACCAGATGGTGGCGGTAATGCACCAATAAGTTGGATGCCAACCGCCGTTAAAAATAACGATTTTCCCTCGCAAAATAATGGAGCAGTCGCGGCAGAGATAGTGAAGTACCGAACACTTACTAGGACTTGTTTCTCGCACTTGCACTTTGGATTATTACACATTGGATTGTGGATTGTAGGGTGGACACACTGGACTATCAACACACAGAGTTTCCTATGGACTGCTTTATGGTATGGAATTGATGGACTCTGATTTGACCACTTTAAGGACTCTTTATATCTTGTGTTGTTTTAGTTCAGTGTCATTCCTGTCGGTGTAATTACATATGTTATTTTATATCCACTACTTTCTTGTCTTCATTTTTGAACCCAATGTACAAGTATTTTAAACAATTCTCCCTTTAATTGTTTCCTTTGTCAGTAGGGCTGAGTCTTACAAATGATACAAATGAGTTCTGACCTCGTATCTGCACCACCACGCTGTAGTCCGAACAAGCTGTTTGTTGTAGCTCTTGTAGCTCTTTTTCTCTTAAACAGAATATCTCCCTTTGGTGTGGATTTTGAGCTTTGTCATGTTGCAAATCTTTTTACGCTCAAATAGCAACATTGCACACTAAATTTGAAAAAGCATAATAGGACCACTTTAAATAATACATTCAATTTCTGTCAGTTTTTCAATAAACCTTATCTTATACCCCCAGAAAACGTTGAATATACGCACGTGTCACATGAGACCATTCTTTGATCCTTTTGCTTCTTGTTTAAAAGCTGTTCGATATTCACTGCCATTTTATGGATGAGCATGCATGAGCAAACTCGCTTTTTGTGAGCAGAAAAATAAATAAGGTTGTATGGCATTAGAGCAAAACCAGGGTGAGTAAATAATGACTTCATTCATTTTTAGGCAAACCAACAGTAAGAGGAAATAGGGTCAATTTACGACTAGTTAGTAGTAATTGTAAATGTAAGGCACTTCATTTTATGCTCTACTGAAATTGCACAATTAGGACATGTACTTTGGTAGCACCTGCTGGTGGAATCCCCAAACTACAACTGCACAGATTTTCTCACAAGAGTTGAATTTGTGGTTAATGATATAATAATAATATTGGCTAAATTATATAGACAAGTACCACCCAGTGTCTTTCCATTCCACCATGAGTTGGTGGTGTTTTACGAATCATTCAAATACATGTGTACAAAAAGCCAATTTTTGTTTGCCATTTTTGTTCTGAATTTGTCATTCTTTAGATCAGGGCTGTCCAAACTCGGTCCTGGAGGGCCGATGTCCTGCAGAGTTTAGCTCCAACTTGCCTCAACACACCTGACTGGAAGTTTCTATGCCTAGTAAGAGCTTGATTAGCTGGTTCAGGTGTGTTTAATTAGGGTTGGAGGTAAACTCTGCAGGACACCGGCCCTCCAGGACCGAGTTTGGGCAGCCCTGATTTAGAACAACATGGCAAGATTCCCAGCTGTCTGAGAAAACCCCAAATAGGATTCAAACATTTTTAATGACTCTTTATTATTTTCCAAACCATTTTTTGCTCATTTTTTTCTGTTGTTCAGTCTTTTGCTGTCTTGTTCAAAAATGGCATTATATGTGTTTTATAGTTGTACAAAGGACATTTTAATACAATGTAAGTATACACCATTAAAGTATAACTGGCCCCAGCTTGGCCCCATATGATATTAATATAACTTGTAAAAGGGATGAATAAATAAAAGTGCTGTGTGAGCATGTTCATCTCTGACTTCCCCTCTGGTCTGTGTGGTCGAGGTTTCATCTAAAGCTCAGTGATGTTTCCGCTCACAGTACGAGATGTTTGTATGATCACAGTATAGAAGATATTCATCTGGATCAGACGATGAAGATCATCCAGCTCCAGATCTGTGAGTTTATCACATCACATTTGATTTATTAAATTAGCTTTCTTTTGATCTTCAATCTTAATAAATGTGTTTTGTTTCTCTCATAGATCTGTTCATGTGGTCTCAAGCCACAGAGAGTCTAACAAACACAGCAGTAACTTTAGGAGCTGATGTGAATATAAGCTGTGATCTTGATATAGAGGAGATTTACTGGTACAGACAGAAGTCACCGGATCCTCCAGTGTTCATCTTACGCACTTTTGATAGCACATACGAAGAAGGTATTCATCAAAACAGCATCTTCAAACTCAAATACTTGGTGAAAACTAACAGTCGTCTGTTCATCAGAAATATCACCACTGATGAATTAGGAGTTTATTATTGTGTGAAAACTAGTGAACCACTCAAATTCAGCAACGGCACCAACATCTACATCAGCGGTGAGTTATTTCCTCTTTCAGATATTTTACCCATAATATATTAAATATACTTTGTTAAACATAATTTAAACAATGAACATTCATAAATAATAATTTGTCAGTTTCATTGATAAAGATTGAAATTGAATAAAGAATAATTGAATTAATAATTGATTGAATTAAAAATCGATCCATTTTACAGACTGTTTTCACAAGAATCTGACTTCAGAATCCCATGAATCAGAGTCACATGATGCTCCACAACACCAGATACTATGGAGAAATCTGACCATAGCATCTGTCTTGCTGAATGTGCTTTTGACCATTGCATTGATAGGTTTGTCTTTTAGGATAATGTTACATTTCCAGTGTGTTTGCTTGTTTTTATTTATGTATTTTTATTTATTTATTTAAAATTGTGAGAAGTTGATACAGTAATGCTTCATTAACTTTCATTTCAGGTTTGAGAAAGAGCTATCTTCATACAAGAAGATTTAAAAATAGTTCAGAGAACCCTCAAAGTACTACAGCAGCTCAGTACTTAAATGATTCACAGGTAAGACTAATAGTTTAATGAAAATTATTTTTTTTAATGAGGGTAATTGGCTTTTTCAAATAATATGTTCAAGATCCTATATTTGAATTATTTGAATTGTGTTGTACTATTATAACATATTAGCACATAGCATGTTGTCTTATGAGGCTTTCTGCAATACTGATTGGTCGGTTGTGACATTCTGTAGTTAAATAATTGTGTGTAATAACCACTAAAATATATTTGACTGTTGTACGTTGCACTAGTCAGCTGTATTATAGAAAACTGAAAATAAAATCGTAAAACTAAACCCATTTTTGTTATTTGAAATAAATATTAACTGAAATAAAATATATAAAAAACGGGTTCAGATCACCCTATGAGCATTTATTTTCTGATAATGCCTGCTGACTGTATATTATTCCTTACATTCATTAATATCTTAATCTTTCAGTATGCTGAGGTTGATTTTTCCATGCACCCCGGTGAAAACAGGCCTTGCCAGGAGCAGACCATCTACTCTCTTCTCCAGCCAATAAAAAGTATGAAGTAACATACATTATAAATATAATGCAAATATAACAATATATATTAAAGTTTGTTTAACATTTCTGTACTTCCATTTTTGGGGATTTCATAGTTTCGTGTTATTCTAAAATGTTTAAAACCGTAAACAAATAAGTGAATGTGTCTAAATGTTTGCCTGCTGTTGTTTAATATTTATATCAAGTTGCAGAGCATTGAACAGAAAGATGAGATCAGATTTGAAACAAAGTTGAACTAAATCTTTTGACAAGATTACAGGACTGCTTGTATGAGTGCATGCAGTTCACAGTAATGATCAGTTTCGAGATGATTTGTCACTTAAACTTTTAATGCTCCACGTGAAAAATATAACTAATATTCTTACTGGCTGAAAATAAAACACTAAACGTAGTGGACACTGGGGCTATTTGGCACAAGATGAAGTGGTCACAGTTATTATAACGTTTAAAGGTGTGTTTTTTGACGTGTGGTTTAACTGTAAGGTTGAGTCGTAACGAGTATTTTGCATGTTGTTTGTGTGTTACCATGTATATGTTTGCTGCTATATGAATTGTTTTGTTTTTTAATTAGCAGATAAGCAGTGTGGTAGCTATGATGCTCTTGTCTGTTATGAAATGTTCCTGTTTTGAATGGAGATCTTGCTTTTACAGCTCTTGCTTCAAACTAGCAGTGAGTTGCATGTAAACCACAGGGTAATGAGGTTTCTTGGAGCTGAAGCAGCTTCTCAACAAGTTTCGTGAAACATTATGCAAAGAATAATCCTTAATCTTGACCCATACATCACATCTGCTAGCAGTTCCGAAGATAACATTGTTTTTCACAATTCAGTTGATATAGAATTTTCTGCTTTCTGCTAATACATTGTTTCATAAAGATTCAATGTACAGCTGGAAATCACAGGAACAACTTTCAATGTATGTACTAAAGAGATGTATTTTTTACTTATTAATAGTTCTTAATATTTTTGTAAATGTTAAAAAGTCTTCTGCACAGCTCTTCTTTGTGGTTAACACAGCGTGTTTTTTTTTTTCTTTTTCTTTGCAAATTGTTCCACATTTTGGTCACTTGATTGACAGCACTGTCGATGAGTATATTTCTAGTCATAGATCAAGGTAGATGCCATGTTTACTTTTATGCATATGCAAGCGAAGCTGCGAGGCATAGACATACAGTCTTTTTAATGGCATGCACTGTAAAGGTCCTAGATCACATGCAATTTAAAAACTTTTTGTCTACTGAAAGATTTTTGTGAAGATGCTTCACCAGCTAAACAATTCATTGAACACTTCTATCCTTCATAGCTTTGTTTTCATTCCTGTCAGAGATTAAATAAGATTTATACTGCATGAGACTGCGCTCACCCCTATGGGTAGGATTTAGTTTTTATTTTGTTTTTGGACTTCAATAAAGCCTATCTAACTCTGCATTGAGTCTTTGCCTCAACAGCACGTTACACCGGACATCATAAACACCAAACATCAAGTGGTTTAAACTAACCTAGTTAACATAACAGGAAACCACTTAAACAAATAGACCTGAGTTTCACCCTTTCTGTTCTGTCTTATTCTAAAAATCTCCTCAACCCGAACAAATATTTCAGGAGGAAACAAGAAACTGTTAGCATGGTTAGCATGGCCTGTTAGCACCTGCTGCTGTTTGCTGTAACCACCGTTTGACTCCACAAAGAGGGAAAAAAACATGAACAAAACTACACAAATGGAATGCAGGCTAATTACAAAAATAGTTTGTGTTGAGCACAATTTGTTTTGTGTGGAAATAAGAACAGAATTAAAGACTATTTTATATAATGGCATTAGGCTACAGTTGAATGTCAAATTAGTTTGTTATCTTGGGTCATACTGCTGTGTGTACAGGTATGAAATATGACATTAATACTTTTAATTTCTGAAGATTATATATATATGTCAATGGTTGAGTTTTGAACAAATATACATGTGGTCAAGAGCAAACCTCCCTTAACTTCCTCTTGTGGGAATCACCCTTGGAAGCTCAGATGTAAAGTTTTAACTCTAAAGTCATGCTGAAGTATTTTAACATCCTGACGTTCATGCAGAGTACTTCACACACACACACATATATATATATATATATATATATATAAATAGTATTCAATGTGCTTTGTTAATTAATACATTTATGATGTTTTAGACACAATTATAATGCAAATTGCTTTGTGTGTGTGTGTACCTACTTAACCATATTTTGAAATGCTGTTTATTCGGCGTAGTGAAGCCTCTCCTCTATTGACATCCATTTAAAAAAAACGGCCTCTGGTCTCCTTTCCCACGTAGCCTTCTGCTAGACCGGAAGTGTTAGCTTTAGCCGTTACACTTTTTTGTCTAGAGGTTAGGCTTGCCTTCTAGTGGCTTTGGTATGGCCTTACATTGAGGCCTTTTTAAAAAAAACAATGTATATATGACATTCTGGTCCATGGTTCCATACCAGATGGTGGCGGTAATGCACCAATAAGTTATTTGCCAACCGCCAATAGACCCTAGAAGAAGAAGAAGAAGCGATCGAGGCCTGAAAAACAAAACGGGACTCAGGTCAATGTAAACCACTGCCTGGATTGTGAAGTACCTTGTTGTGAACACTTACTAGGACTTGTTTCTCGCACTTGCACTTTGGATTATTACACATTGGATTGTATATACACGGGTGGACACACTGGACTATCAACACACAGAGTTTCCTATGGACTGCTTTATGGTATGGAATTGATGGACTCTGATTTGACCACTTTAAGGACTCTTTATATCTTGTGTTGTTTTAGTTCAGTGTCATTCCTGTCGGTGTAATTACATATGTTATTTTATATCCACTACTTTCTTGTCTTCATTTTTGAACCCAATGTACAAGTATTTTAAACAATTCTCCCTTTAATTGTTTCCTTTGTCAGTAGGGCTGAGTCTTACAAATGAGTCTTCCAGGTTCTGACCTCGTATCTGCACCACCACGCTGTAGTCCGAACAAGCTGTTTGTTGTAGCTCTTGAAAAGTGTTTTCTCTTAAACAGAATATCTCCCTTTGGTGTGGATTTTGAGCTTTGTCATGTTGCAAATCTTTTTACGCTCAAATAGCAACATTGCACACTAAATTTGAAAAAGCATAATAGGACCACTTTAAATAATACATTCAATTTCTGTCAGTTTTTCAATAAACCTTATCTTATACCCCCAGAAAACGTTGAATATACGCACGTGTCACATGAGACCATTTTTTGATCCTTTTGCTTCTTGTTTAAAAGCTGTTCGATATTCACTGCCATTTTATGGATGAGCATGCATGAGCAAACTCGCTTTTTGTGAGCAGAAAAATAAATAAGGTTGTATGGCATTAGAGCAAAACCAGGGTGAGTAAATAATGACTTCATTCATTTTTAGGCAAACCAACAGTAAGAGGAAATAGGGTCAATTTACGACTAGTTAGTAGTAATTGTAAATGTAAGGCACTTCATTTTATGCTCTACTGAAATTGCACAATTAGGACATGTACTTTGGTAGCACCTGCTGGTGGAATCCCCAAACTACAACTGCACAGATTTTCTCACAAGAGTTGAATTTGTGGTTAATGATATAATAATAATATTGGCTAAATTATATAGACAAGTACCACCCAGTGTCTTTCCATTCCACCATGAGTTGGTGGTGTTTTACGAATCATTCAAATACATGTGTGCAAAAAGCCAATTTTTGTTTGCCATTTTTGTTCTGAATTTGTCATTCTTTAGATCAGGGCTGTCCAAACTCGGTCCTGGAGGGCCGATGTCCTGCAGAGTTTAGCTCCAACTTGCCTCAACACACCTGACTGGAAGTTTCTATGCCTAGTAAGAGCTTGATTAGCTGGTTCAGGTGTGTTTAATTAGGGTTGGAGGTAAACTCTGCAGGACACCGGCCCTACAGGACTGAGTTTGGGCACCCCTGATTTAGAACAACATGGCAAGATTCCCAGCTGTCTGAGAAAACCCCAAATAGGATTCAAACATTTTTAATGACTCTTTATTATTTTCCAAACCATTTTTTGCTCATTTTTTTCTGTTGTTCAGTCTTTTGCTGTCTTGTTCAAAAATGGCATTATATGTGTTTTATAGTTGTACAAAGGACATTTTAATACAATGTAAGTATACACCATTAAAGTATAACTGGCCCCAGCTTGGCCCCATATGATATTAATATAACTTGTAAAAGGGATGAATAAATAAAAGTGCTGTGTGAGCATGTTCATCTCTGACTTCCCCTCTGGTCTGTGTGGTCGAGGTTTCATCTAAAGCTCAGTGATGTTTCCGCTCACAGTACGAGATGTTTGTATGATCACAGTATAGAAGATATTCATCTGGATCAGACGATGAAGATCATCCAGCTCCAGATCTGTGAGTTTATCACATCACATTTGATTTATTAAATTAGCTTTCTTTTGATCTTCAATCTTAATAAATGTGTTTTGTTTCTCTCATAGATCTGTTCATGTGGTCTCAAGCCACAGAGAGTCTAACAAACACAGCAGTAACTTTAGGAGCTGATGTGAATATAAGCTGTGATCTTGATATAGAGGAGATTTACTGGTACAGACAGAAGTCACCGGATCCTCCAGTGTTCATCTTACGCACTTTTGATAGCACATACGAAGAAGGTATTCATCAAAACAGCATCTTCAAACTCAAATACTTGGTGAAAACTAACAGTCGTCTGTTCATCAGAAATATCACCACTGATGAATTAGGAGTTTATTATTGTGTGAAAACTAGTGAACCACTCAAATTCAGCAACGGCACCAACATCTACATCAGCGGTGAGTTATTTCCTCTTTCAGATATTTTACCCATAATATATTAAATATACTTTGTTAAACATAATTTAAACAATGAACATTCATAAATAATAATTTGTCAGTTTCATTGATAAAGATTGAAATTGAATAAAGAATAATTGAATTAATAATTGATTGAATTAAAAATCGATCCATTTTACAGACTGTTTTCACAAGAATCTGACTTCAGAATCCCATGAATCAGAGTCACATGATGCTCCACAACACCAGATACTATGGAGAAATCTGACCATAGCATCTGTCTTGCTGAATGTGCTTTTGACCATTGCATTGATAGGTTTGTCTTTTAGGATAATGTTACATTTCCAGTGTGTTTGCTTGTTTTTATTTATGTATTTTTATTTATTTATTTAAAATTGTGAGAAGTTGATACAGTAATGCTTCATTAACTTTCATTTCAGGTTTGAGAAAGAGCTATCTTCATACAAGAAGATTTAAAAATAGTTCAGAGAACCCTCAAAGTACTACAGCAGCTCAGTACTTAAATGATTCACAGGTAAGACTAATAGTTTAATGAAAATTATTTTTTTTAATGAGGGTAATTGGCTTTTTCAAATAATATGTTCAAGATCCTATATTTGAATTATTTGAATTGTGTTGTACTATTATAACATATTAGCACATAGCATGTTGTCTTATGAGGCTTTCTGCAATACTGATTGGTCGGTTGTGACATTCTGTAGTTAAATAATTGTGTGTAATAACCACTAAAATATATTTGACTGTTGTACGTTGCACTAGTCAGCTGTATTATAGAAAACTGAAAATAAAATCGTAAAACTAAACCCATTTTTGTTATTTGAAATAAATATTAACTGAAATAAAATATATAAAAAACGGGTTCAGATCACCCTATGAGCATTTATTTTCTGATAATGCCTGCTGACTGTATATTATTCCTTACATTCATTAATATCTTAATCTTTCAGTATGCTGAGGTTGATTTTTCCATGCACCCCGGTGAAAACAGGCCTTGCCAGGAGCAGACCATCTACTCTCTTCTCCAGCCAATAAAAAGTATGAAGTAACATACATTATAAATATAATGCAAATATAACAATATATATTAAAGTTTGTTTAACATTTCTGTACTTCCATTTTTGGGGATTTCATAGTTTCGTGTTATTCTAAAATGTTTAAAACCGTAAACAAATAAGTGAATGTGTCTAAATGTTTGCCTGCTGTTGTTTAATATTTATATCAAGTTGCAGAGCATTGAACAGAAAGATGAGATCAGATTTGAAACAAAGTTGAACTAAATCTTTTGACAAGATTACAGGACTGCTTGTATGAGTGCATGCAGTTCACAGTAATGATCAGTTTCGAGATGATTTGTCACTTAAACTTTTAATGCTCCACGTGAAAAATATAACTAATATTCTTACTGGCTGAAAATAAAACACTAAACGTAGTGGACACTGGGGCTATTTGGCACAAGATGAAGTGGTCACAGTTATTATAACGTTTAAAGGTGTGTTTTTTGACGTGTGGTTTAACTGTAAGGTTGAGTCGTAACGAGTATTTTGCATGTTGTTTGTGTGTTACCATGTATATGTTTGCTGCTATATGAATTGTTTTGTTTTTTAATTAGCAGATAAGCAGTGTGGTAGCTATGATGCTCTTGTCTGTTATGAAATGTTCCTGTTTTGAATGGAGATCTTGCTTTTACAGCTCTTGCTTCAAACTAGCAGTGAGTTGCATGTAAACCACAGGGTAATGAGGTTTCTTGGAGCTGAAGCAGCTTCTCAACAAGTTTCGTGAAACATTATGCAAAGAATAATCCTTAATCTTGACCCATACATCACATCTGCTAGCAGTTCCGAAGATAACATTGTTTTTCACAATTCAGTTGATATAGAATTTTCTGCTTTCTGCTAATACATTGTTTCATAAAGATTCAATGTACAGCTGGAAATCACAGGAACAACTTTCAATGTATGTACTAAAGAGATGTATTTTTTACTTATTAATAGTTCTTAATATTTTTGTAAATGTTAAAAAGTCTTCTGCACAGCTCTTCTTTGTGGTTAACACAGCGTGTTTTTTTTTTTCTTTTTCTTTGCAAATTGTTCCACATTTTGGTCACTTGATTGACAGCACTGTCGATGAGTATATTTCTAGTCATAGATCAAGGTAGATGCCATGTTTACTTTTATGCATATGCAAGCGAAGCTGCGAGGCATAGACATACAGTCTTTTTAATGGCATGCACTGTAAAGGTCCTAGATCACATGCAATTTAAAAACTTTTTGTCTACTGAAAGATTTTTGTGAAGATGCTTCACCAGCTAAACAATTCATTGAACACTTCTATCCTTCATAGCTTTGTTTTCATTCCTGTCAGAGATTAAATAAGATTTATACTGCATGAGACTGCGCTCACCCCTATGGGTAGGATTTAGTTTTTATTTTGTTTTTGGACTTCAATAAAGCCTATCTAACTCTGCATTGAGTCTTTGCCTCAACAGCACGTTACACCGGACATCATAAACACCAAACATCAAGTGGTTTAAACTAACCTAGTTAACATAACAGGAAACCACTTAAACAAATAGACCTGAGTTTCACCCTTTCTGTTCTGTCTTATTCTAAAAATCTCCTCAACCCGAACAAATATTTCAGGAGGAAACAAGAAACTGTTAGCATGGTTAGCATGGCCTGTTAGCACCTGCTGCTGTTTGCTGTAACCACCGTTTGACTCCACAAAGAGGGAAAAAAACATGAACAAAACTACACAAATGGAATGCAGGCTAATTACAAAAATAGTTTGTGTTGAGCACAATTTGTTTTGTGTGGAAATAAGAACAGAATTAAAGACTATTTTATATAATGGCATTAGGCTACAGTTGAATGTCAAATTAGTTTGTTATCTTGGGTCATACTGCTGTGTGTACAGGTATGAAATATGACATTAATACTTTTAATTTCTGAAGATTATATATATATGTCAATGGTTGAGTTTTGAACAAATATACATGTGGTCAAGAGCAAACCTCCCTTAACTTCCTCTTGTGGGAATCACCCTTGGAAGCTCAGATGTAAAGTTTTAACTCTAAAGTCATGCTGAAGTATTTTAACATCCTGACGTTCATGCAGAGTACTTCACACACACACACATATATATATATATATATATATATATAAATAGTATTCAATGTGCTTTGTTAATTAATACATTTATGATGTTTTAGACACAATTATAATGCAAATTGCTTTGTGTGTGTGTGTACCTACTTAACCATATTTTGGGGACAAATTTGTACCCAAAGTGAGCTAAACCTGACAAAATCTCCAAAAACCTCCCTTTGGGGACGTCCTCATTTGTAAAACTGGTATAAACTGATGTTTTAATACCACAGTCACATTAAAGATGTGAGTGTGTGTGTGTGTGTGCGTGTGTGTGTGTTTTATTTCACAGATCTGCTCATGTGGTGTTGAACTGCAGAGATTTTAACAGATCAATTTAACAGATATGGGTCAAAATGTGACCATAAACTGTAATGTAATGGTGGTTAATTGGTTATTATTGAAACCAGCAGATTCTCCAGTTCTGATATTACGCACTTTCTCCACTACATTATCTGTTCAATAAATAATGTCACTATTGAGGAGTTAGGAGATTATTATTGTGTGGCCAGTACTCTAAAATACAGTGATGGGACCAGACTACTCATCAATTGTGAGTGACTTGACTTGAATTGTCACTGATGTTTTACATTGCATCCGTTTAAGATAAGAAAAAAGGTAAAAATCCATTGCACAGTGCTGAATGTGAAGATCCCGAATCATACAGTGGTGAAGTTCATTGAAACTAATCTCAAACTGTTAGATTTTACCCTCATATCTGCTCTGTTGAATGGTCTTCTGATCATTGTGATTCAAACAACGCCTGTGCAGGTAAACCAAGAGAAAGCATAATTAATATAACATTTTGCCATTCCAAACCGTCCCTTTCTTCTGCTGAACACATAAGAAGATCATTTTGAAGAATGCTTCAACTACTTTTGTGCATACGATGAAAGACATTTAGGGTCCAAAAACAACATTGGAACCCATTGACTTTCACTGGCAAAAAACTGAGATATAGTTTTAAAAAAACATCTTTTGCATTTAAAGAAGGTTCATTTAAACAGCAATGCATGTGCATTTCGTTTACAGTGCAATATTGGTTTCCTGTTGCTTTTTCAGTTTGCTGCGGTGGACCTTTGCACACCATGTCAAAGCTTTCAGTCCAGCCAAGTCAACAGCACCTGTGCACTTCTACAGCTGCTGCAATCAAGAACACAACCATAACTAACCTCATTCAGTTACGCTTCCTATTGTATTTGACTAAATGCCATTTATCAGGTATTGTATAGCTATGGATTACTTTTTAGATTGTTCGAGCTTGCAGAATGAACAATTACAGGTACTTGCCAGAAATGACTGCTGCTATTATTGTGCATTGAATACATATTTGATTTCTGCCTAATAAAATTTTTTTCAGACAGATGTTTTATGTATAGCTGGGCTGAAATCCAAACAACACAATCCCACAACATAGATTTTTGGAAACAGGTTTTGCTTGATTCTCTCTCTCTCTCTCTCTCTCTCTCTCTATATATATATAACCTGCTATAGTTGTTTTCATTTGCACTCTGTAGTCAGATTTGTTTTTATAAACTGATGTGATAGTTTATTTCCTGTCTTTCTCCTCACATAATAAACTAATTTAAATTCAAATCAGTATTTCATGTTTATTTGGTAAGTGGTTGTGTTATATTGGAATAATAACCAGTCAGTCTGACTGTATTTGATTCCTTATGTAATATATATTCAGTGATAAAATAAACACATGCACACTCATGTTGTTACAAAATTGGACAAAACTTGTAGACAAAACGTCGAAGGCAAAAGTGAATGGTAATTTATACTTTCTAGCTCCTTTTTAAAAATGTTTATTCATTTCAAATCAGGGGAAGTAACAAATCACAGTTCCTTCAGTTAGCCTACAACAATATAATTGGGTCTCTAGTTAAGCTACATCTGCGCTGCTTTGCTCACCTGTGGCTAACACCTCTATAAGTATGTTTACCTCATGTAAAGTGTTTAGAGATCCTTGTGAAAAATGTTCCACTGGTCTTGCTCGTGTTACGAGAAATGAACCACAAAGTCTCACCTTTGCGAGAGAGTGTAAAGATTTTCCATTTGATGTTATTGTAAATCATTTTCTTACCGTTTTCTTAATCTCAATAGGTGTTAAATTGTTGAAACTGTTTTATGCATTGAGAAAAATAAGATTTTATTGTTTAGCATATTTACTGTATATTGTGCTTCCCCTGATTCACACATACATCACGGAGACGTCTATTTGACGTCTTTTTAGAGTGTATTGTATTTTTAGTGTTTGTTCATCTGCAGTAGGCTACGTCTATAGGACGTTTCAGATGTCAAATAGACGTTTAGAAGATGTCTTTAAGATGTTTATGATTTAGAATGAATGTGAAACTGACATCTTAGAGACGTCTATCAGATGTTTGTGCACAGCAGATGCAGATGAAGAGATCTTTATCAGACATCTTGTTGACGTACCTGTGCTATCTGGGTTATGTGTTGTATTGGATCTTTGTATGAAAAGACTTATTGGTAAGCAGGGCCGTGCACAGGGGGGTGGCCCGGTGGCTAGAGCCACTGCTCCTCTGCCCTCATTGGCTGAGGTGCCCCTCTTGAACCCCCCAGCACCCCCACCCCCCACTGAACGTGACTGCCCATTACAAGCTATTTAAAAGTGAAGGAAAGCGAGGAAAAGAGACCCAACGAACCTCACACCCTCAGTGATACCGGTATTACCGGTATTATTATCACACGTCGATTAACCGGTATATATAGCTACACACACACACACGACCCTGGGCCACAAAAGCAGTCATAAGTAGCACAGGTATATTTGTAGCAATAGCCAAAAATACATTGTATGGGTCAAAATTATCGATTTTTCTTTTATGCCAAAAATCATTAGGATATTAAGTAAAGATCATGTTCCTTGAAGATATTTTGTAAATTTCTTACCGTAAATATATAAAAACGGTATTATCATTAGTAATATGCATTGCTGAGGACTTCATTTGGACAACTTTAAAGGCGATTTTCTCAATATTTAGATTTTTTTGCACCCTCAGATTCCAGATTTTCACATAGTTGTATCTCGGCCAAATATTGTCCTATCCTAACAAACCATACATCAATGGAAAGCTTATTTATTAAAAAAATTGACCCTTATGACTGGTTTTGTGGTCCAGGGTCACATACATATACATATATGGCTGAGCAATAACTGCCCCACTCCCAGTGATTTCGGCCACTGCCCCTCAAAATGTCTGTGCACGGCCCTGTATGGTAAGAATCATTTTTTCACGTCAAACATTGTAATCAGCATATATTTAGATCAATCGCTCCTGAAGAATCGCGTCCAAGGCGTTACTCTTCTCAGCGCTGGCCGGAATGGACCAATCAACGACGTTTGTGATGCTGGACAAGAATGTATAAAGATGTTTAAGGATATGTTTTTACAAAGATTGATTTTCATTTATATATCAGTTACACCGTTCTTGAAATTTATAGATGTAAGATATCACACTTTTGTTGTGTACAAATTTGTTCTGTAAGACAAAATCCGTCCTAAAATGTGAATGCCTCTCGACGGCGCGTTCAGTTTTCTGGGCCATCAAGCGCCCCCTGGAGGAATATGTTTGTCTGACAGGAAACATCTCCCGCCCAATGATTTGTGTGAGACAAGCGAAAAGCATTTTGGGTAACTTTGAAAGATGGCGGACGACGCTGAGCAGGTATGCTGTTTCGTTGTATATAAGCAAGTGTATGTTTTTAATAGTTTGGTAGTGACGGAGCTCAGTCACAGCGGGTGTTTTCATGTATGTCTCGCTGAACACACGAGAATGTCGAGGCAGTTTATAACCAGCAGCTCTCAGACGGTTGTTCATCTGTATTATTGTAATGAAAATGACTGAAACTTAATTTGCAGCAACAAACCACCAACACCGTAGAAGAGCCTCTGGATCTGATCCGGCTGAGTCTGGATGAGCGGATCTACGTGAAGATGCGAAACGACAGAGAACTGCGCGGCAGACTGCACGTGAGAGACTCACTCACTCATCCACCCACCCATCCATCCATCCATTCATTCTCTCTCTCTCTCTCTGACTCACTCACTCATCCATTCATTCTCTCTCTCTCTGTCTCACTCACTCATCCATTCATTCTCTCTCTCTCTGTCTCACTCACTCATCCATTCATTCTCTCTCTCTCTGTCTCACTCACTCATCCATTCATTCTCTCTCTCTCTGTCTCACTCACTCATCCATTCATTCTCTCTCTCTCTGTCTCACTCACTCATCCATTCATTCTCTCTCTCTCTGTCTCACTCACTCATCCATTCATTCTCTCTCTCTCTGTCTCACTCACTCATCCATTCATTCTCTCTCTCTCTGTCTCACTCACTCATCCATTCATTCTCTCTCTCTCTGTCTCACTCACTCATCCATTCATTCTCTCTCTCTCTGTCTCACTCACTCATCCATTCATTCTCTCTCTCTCTGTCTCACTCACTCATCCATTCATTCTCTCTCTCTCTGTCTCACTCACTCATCCATTCATTCTCTCTCTCTCTGTCTCACTCACTCATCCATTCATTCTCTCTCTCTCTGTCTCACTCACTCATCCATTCATTCTCTCTCTCTCTGTCTCACTCACTCATCCATTCATTCTCTCTCTCTCTGTCTCACTCACTCATCCATTCATTCTCTCTCTCTCTGTCTCACTCACTCATCCATTCATTCTCTCTCTCTCTGTCTCACTCACTCATCCATTCATTCTCTCTCTCTCTGTCTCACTCACTCATCCATTCATTCTCTCTCTCTCTGTCTCACTCACTCATCCATTCATTCTCTCTCTCTCTGTCTCACTCACTCATCCATTCATTCTCTCTCTCTCTGTCTCACTCACTCATCCATTCATTCTCTCTCTCTCTGTCTCACTCACTCATCCATTCATTCTCTCTCTCTCTGTCTCACTCACTCATCCATTCATTCTCTCTCTCTCTGTCTCACTCACTCATCCATTCATTCTCTCTCTCTCTGTCTCACTCACTCATCCATTCATTCTCTCTCTCTCTGTCTCACTCACTCATCCATTCATTCTCTCTCTCTCTGTCTCACTCACTCATCCATTCATTCTCTCTCTCTCTGTCTCACTCACTCATCCATTCATTCTCTCTCTCTCTGTCTCACTCACTCATCCATTCATTCTCTCTCTCTCTGTCTCACTCACTCATCCATTCATTCTCTCTCTCTCTGTCTCACTCACTCATCCATTCATTCTCTCTCTCTCTGTCTCACTCACTCATCCATTCATTCTCTCTCTCTCTGTCTCACTCACTCATCCATTCATTCTCTCTCTCTCTGTCTCACTCACTCATCCATTCATTCTCTCTCTCTCTGTCTCACTCACTCATCCATTCATTCTCTCTCTCTCTGTCTCACTCACTCATCCATTCATTCTCTCTCTCTCTGTCTCACTCACTCATCCATTCATTCTCTCTCTCTCTGTCTCACTCACTCATCCATTCATTCTCTCTCTCTCTGTCTCACTCACTCATCCATTCATTCTCTCTCTCTCTGTCTCACTCACTCATCCATTCATTCTCTCTCTCTCTGTCTCACTCACTCATCCATTCATTCTCTCTCTCTCTGTCTCACTCACTCATCCATTCATTCTCTCTCTCTCTGTCTCACTCACTCATCCATTCATTCTCTCTCTCTCTGTCTCACTCACTCATCCATTCATTCTCTCTCTCTCTGTCTCACTCACTCATCCATTCATTCTCTCTCTCTCTGTCTCACTCACTCATCCATTCATTCTCTCTCTCTCTGTCTCACTCACTCATCCATTCATTCTCTCTCTCTCTGTCTCACTCACTCATCCATTCATTCTCTCTCTCTCTGTCTCACTCACTCATCCATTCATTCTCTCTCTCTCTGTCTCACTCACTCATCCATTCATTCTCTCTCTCTCTGTCTCACTCACTCATCCATTCATTCTCTCTCTCTCTGTCTCACTCACTCATCCATTCATTCTCTCTCTCTCTGTCTCACTCACTCATCCATTCATTCTCTCTCTCTCTGTCTCACTCACTCATCCATTCATTCTCTCTCTCTCTGTCTCACTCACTCATCCATTCATTCTCTCTCTCTCTGTCTCACTCACTCATCCATTCATTCTCTCTCTCTCTGTCTCACTCACTCATCCATTCATTCTCTCTCTCTCTGTCTCACTCACTCATCCATTCATTCTCTCTCTCTCTGTCTCACTCACTCATCCATTCATTCTCTCTCTCTCTGTCTCACTCACTCATCCATTCATTCTCTCTCTCTCTGTCTCACTCACTCATCCATTCATTCTCTCTCTCTCTGTCTCACTCACTCATCCATTCATTCTCTCTCTCTCTGTCTCACTCACTCATCCATTCATTCTCTCTCTCTCTGTCTCACTCACTCATCCATTCATTCTCTCTCTCTCTGTCTCACTCACTCATCCATTCATTCTCTCTCTCTCTGTCTCACTCACTCATCCATTCATTCTCTCTCTCTCTGTCTCACTCACTCATCCATTCATTCTCTCTCTCTCTGTCTCACTCACTCATCCATTCATTCTCTCTCTCTCTGTCTCACTCACTCATCCATTCATTCTCTCTCTCTCTGTCTCACTCACTCATCCATTCATTCTCTCTCTCTCTGTCTCACTCACTCATCCATTCATTCTCTCTCTCTCTGTCTCACTCACTCATCCATTCATTCTCTCTCTCTCTGTCTCACTCACTCATCCATTCATTCTCTCTCTCTCTGTCTCACTCACTCATCCATTCATTCTCTCTCTCTCTGTCTCACTCACTCATCCATTCATTCTCTCTCTCTCTGTCTCACTCACTCATCCATTCATTCTCTCTCTCTCTGTCTCACTCACTCATCCATTCATTCTCTCTCTCTCTCTCTGACTCACTCACTCACTCACTCACTCACTCACTCAGTCACCCATCCATTCATTCTCTCTCTCTCTCTCTCTCTCTCTCTCTCTCTCTCTCTCTCTCTCTCTCTCTCTCTCTCAC